TTCTCCCCAGTGCCAGGGTTTTCATACGACACCAGGCAATACCCCCACTTCGTGGGGGGGCATTACAAGCTCTACCAAATATCCAAACGACTCTTCGCGACCACCCAAACCCAGCTTCCCGCCCTATGACGTTGGGACACTTCACTTCGTGGCGTGCGGACGACCGTGGCTACTACACTGGCGTGGGGTACACACCCACAGAACTTGGTCACTTATTCGGGGCGCGCATGTGCCCAGCATGGTGCAATTGTGCCATACCATACATAATACAGAGAGACAGAGAGAGAGACAGAGAGCAGACAGAGAGAGAGACAGAGAGAGCGGAGTTGGTCACATTTTTGGGTCAAGTTCCTGGGATGATGGGAATACACAACTCTGTTACATGACAGCCTGTCCCGCATGGTATTATTTGACAGGGATGATGGCCCTGGCAGGTGCGCAACCGTTGTCGCAGAAGTTCGAAAAAGTTGCTCGCAAAAGCCCGTTTGACAGAAATGTTTAAAAAGTGTTGGGTTTCCTACGAATCCGCAAGAGCGCGCGGGATGAGATTTTGACATTTTTTTGTTGAAAAACCATTGGTTTTTTGATGTTTTTATGTTGAAATCGCTCCGAACACTAAGCTTTTGGAAGGATTTCGTCTTGCGCGCGCGAATGTCCACTTTACCTTATTTTTTGCAAAGGATTCTTGAAATTTGATTATATTAGAACAAGAAATGTCATTTTATAGTGTTTTTTGCAAGGGAAAGCGGGGGGAACAAAACAACCGGATCTTGATCACATCGAATTACCTGAGGCTTCCTCACGAAAATGATGAAAATGTAGCTGCGGCCTAGGCGGCGCAGGGGGGCCGTGCACCAGGGGTCCCAACAATAATTATTCTTTAGAATTAATAATGTTCAACAACAACAACAACAACGACGACGACGACGACGACGACGACGACGACGACAACAAGAACGGCAAGAAGATTGACGGCTCCGACGAGTACGAGTACTCGGGTCCGTCGAGGAGCTCTGATGGCTAACGTGGCGAGCCGCCGAGGCCAGCTATGCGTAGCTGCGGAGAGTGGTTCGACTCGAGGCGTTGTTCCCACTGG